GTGCTCTCAGCTGTTAGCCAGGTTGGTGGGGGACAAAAGTCCCTTTAAAATATTGAATGTCAGTTGCAAACCTAAGAAAAGAAAAATCTGATCCGGAGCGCTAAATTTAGGAGCTTTATATGGTACTTGGATTCTGCTGCTGGATTTTGTATGGATTTTTTGCAACCTTTGGTAAGTTTCGATTCGCCTTCTGGGGTAAAAAGAAACAAATGGCTTTTAGGGGTGGTTAAGACTTTGGGCTGTAAATCCTACGATATCGTGCTGGGGGGGGGTTTAACCGCTTGTGTCGCTTTTTTAATGGAGCGACGGGGACGTCGCGTTTTCTCACTGACGATTCCTAGAGTGCTGCTCTGTGGTTTATTTTATCCCTGATTTTTAAATTGTGGTTTATTATTTGTTGCGCATGCTGTGGGGAGGGGGGAGCCTAGTCGTTCACCCCCAGGCTTCCCATTGCAGGGAGGACAGACCCCATCATCCACCCCTAGACCGCACTGAGCGACCGAAGCGGTTTGGGGAGGGGAAACGTCGCTAGAGGCTGCCGGCAGAGATGGCCGAGAATTGGAAGAACTGCTTCGAAGAGGAGCTCATCTGCCCCATTTGCCTGCACGTCTTCGTGGAGCCGGTCCAGCTGCCCTGCAAGCACAACTTCTGCCGGGGCTGCATCGGGGAGGCGTGGGCCAAGGAGTCGGGCTTGGTGCGGTGCCCGGAGTGCAACCAGGCCTACAACCAGAAGCCCAACCTGGAGAAGAACCTGAAGCTCACCAACATTGTGGAGAAGTTCAACTCGCTCAACCTGGAGAAGCCCCCCTCTGTCTTGCACTGTGTCTTTTGCCGCCGGGGTCCGCCACTGCCGGCCCAGAAGATCTGTTTGAGGTGTGAGGCCCCATGTTGCCAGTCCCATGTCCAGACCCACCTGCAGCAACCCTCCACGGCCCGGGGGCATCTCCTGGTGGAGGCGGACGATGTGCGGGCCTGGAGCTGCCCCCAGCACAACGCCTACCGCCTGTACCACTGCGAGGCCGAGCAGGTGGCCGTCTGCCAGTTCTGCTGCTACTACAGCGGGGCCCACCAGGGACATTCGGTCTGTGACGTGGAGATCCGCCGCAATGAGATCAGGGTAAGTGGGATCTTTGTGGAAGCGTGGGGCTGTCCAGCCCAGGGGGACACACCTCTCTCCCTGGCTGCCCTCTCCCCTGCTGTGTTTGTTCTACCCCGGTGCTGCTCCTCCTCCTCCACCCTGTCCCCCTGTGGCGGACATGTTAGGTGGCCTCCCCAGCTGAGCAGCCATGGAGTCTGCGCGGCTGCCAGGGGGGCTCCCTGGGGAAGGGGCTTTGGGGCTGTTCAGCCACAGGACCTGCGGCCGCTTGAGTCTGGGCTGTGCAGAGAAGGGTCAAGGTCCTGTGCTGGGGGGTTTGGAGGGGTCATCTCCCCAGTTCCTGCTGGGATACGCAACCGTTTGGGGGAAGGTGGAGGAGCTGCCCACGTTCGAGGTTGAGTTTCCATGAGATTGGGCTCCCTGGGGCGACAAAGCGGCCGCAGACGCGGACCCCATCCATTGTAAGGCCTGTGAATGTCAAACTGCCGGCTCTTCCCGCTGCCTCCCGCCGGGGCTGTGGCCACCAGCCCCTTCCCCCCGGCACTGGGAGGGAGAGCTTCACGGCAGAGACCGCTGCTTCTCACTGACAGAGGTTCGCGTTTCGGATTTGGCCAAATAGTGGGATTTTTACCAGGGCGCACAGGGCTGCCCCCCTTCCCTAAAGCAGCATGGGGCGTAGTGCTGGATTCGAGGGAAAGCGAGTCTGTATTTCGCTGGCGGCCAGGCCATCTGGCAGGAGCTTTCACCCCTGGCTCCCCACCCTGAAGTTTGTGGTGGACATTTAACAGCCCTGCGGGTAGCCCTGCTGTGACCTCACTGCCACCTTCCCCCTGCCCAGGGCTGCCCCTCCGCTCCCCCTCTCACCCTTTGAAAGATGCTTAGTGCTTGTCTGACAAATAAATATTTAACAATGAATTGAATGGTGATTACTGTAAAATGGGGATGATTTCCTGTGTATTTTAATGTTGCCAAAATGAGTCACCATTTAGCAATAGGGTAGCCCTGCTGTGACCTCACTGCCACCTTCCCCCTGCCCAGGGCTGCCCCTCCGCTCCCCCTCTGACCCTTTGAAAGATGCTTAGTGCTTGTCTGACAAATAAATATTTAACAATGAATTGAATGGTGATTACTGTAAAATGGGGATGATTTCCTGTGTATTTTAATGTTGCCAAAATGAGTCACCATTTAGCAATAAAAAAAAAAAGTCATAAATAAAAATTGCAGTATAATTACTTTCCAATTGGATGGCCAGGCCTGGGAGGGAGTGCAGCTCTGTGCAGAGAAAAGCTAGCCTCAGCTCACAGGAAGGTTATTTTCCTCTCCAGGTTTTTTTGGGGAAAACCAGAGACCTCCGTGGAGATGCCAGCAGCTCCGCCACACGCGCTGGGAGGGGAAAGACCCAGCCAGGCTTTTGGAGAAGCGCTTTTCTGCTTCTATTTATAGGGAGTCATTTTGGTCTCCCTCTGCCAGGGTGGGGAGCCACCCCAGGAGGGCTGTGAGGGGCTGGGACGGGGCTCACGTCTGCATTTCCCCGGGGCCTTAGCCAAGGACCAAAACTGTTTTTTCAGGTTCTTTTCCAGGACACTTTAATCTCATCTATTCCTGCTCTTGCTGTGTGGCTTTTTTTTTGTTGTTGCTGCTGTTGTTATGGCTGGATATTTGCTGCTTCTTGTGGATGCACGCTGCTAATGACCTGGCAGAAAGCTGTCACCAACTAGGCTGGATTTTGGCCCTGGCTTGAAATTTTAGGATGTGTGGCCAGACACCAAATGTGTCGGAGGGCTGTATCACAGAGCCACAGAATTATTTTGTGACCTTGGCCAAATCCCTCGGTACCTCCATCACCGCGTTATCTTAATTTCCTTTCTCTGCGATGATAAGCTTGTCGCTTCCCCCTGGGCGCGTGGCTTGGTTGGGTGCTCGGAGGCTGGGGCAGTGGAGGACAGCCTGAAGCTGGGGAACAGCATACCCTAATGATTCCCCCCCTGTAGTCTGAAACAGTTCCTCCATGAAGTGGCTGGAGTAGGGAAGAACCCCCAGGAAAAAAACCCGTCAGGTTGCTGGCCCTCGCTGCATGGCCCTGGCCACGTCTCTGGCTGGAGGCTGGCCCTCGCCAGCCGGCGAGGAAGGCGGCTGTGTCAGCTCCCGAATTAGGGTGCGTGTGCTCAGCCGGTGACGGCTTCCCGCCTGCGGGAGCCAGGCCCGGGATTCCTGGCTGCTTGCTCACCCTGCGGTGGTGAGCCGCTCTTGGAGCATCCCGGGGAAGGAGGGCTGGGGTGCAGATGAGTAACGCTGGGCCTGGGAGGTCTGTGGGAGGCCCCATCGTGAGAGGTTTGTTCCATACGTGGCTTGCATTTGGGAAGCTGTTAATCGAGAAATTAATCAAAGTTTGGAGGCTCAGAGCCCTGTCCTTGGTGCGGGGGACTTGTGAGTGTGGGGGATTGTGACATCGACCCTGCGTGGCCCCCTGAGCCTGGAGGAGGGACAGGTGCCTGTAGACACGATCCCCATAAAGTTGCCTTTTTTAGCATTTATTACCCTGACTCTGCTGCTAGCCCACCTTGAAGGGCGTCTTATCCCAATTACGGTCTGATTCGAAGGGGAAAAGGGACTTAAAACTCCATGGGTAAGCACCAGCACTTTGTTAGCTGGGAGGTGGCAATTAGGGCAAGAGAGCTTGTTCTGGGGGAAAGAGCCCAGAGGCGTGTGTCTGCAGGAGAAAAGAGAGTGTCAGGAAGGCTCCCTTGAAGCAGAGGCACACGCTTGGTGGGTTTGGGGGAAGAGGGACCGCTTGGCATTAGGTGCTGTACAAACCCGCAGAGCCCTGGCTCAGAAGTGGCTGAACTCCATGATGCAACCATAATGCAAACAGTAAATAAAATATGTGGTTAATATATTTTTGTGGGCGTATAAAGCGCTTACCTCCCCTTCCCCCTTGTGAGATGTTTTCCTCTTTGTTTCCTGTTTTTGTAGTGCTTAAAGAGGAGGGGAAAAATAGAGCCAACAACTCACCCTCTTTTCTTTTCTTTCTTTTTTTTTTGCTTCTTGTCATTTTGTTTGTGTCAAGGTCTCAAAATGAAACATTTTTTTCTTCCATCTTTGCCTTTGCTGCCCCAGCCACGTGCCTCCTGCCTGCACAGAGGAAACTGCTGTCTCCCTGGCATGGGGGGAACCTACCTCCAGGGTTGAAAAAGGAAGTTCCTCTAGCATGAGGTTGATGTATGGGTTTGGGTAATTTTTTTTTTTTAATCCAAAAAGGGGAAAAATATATTGCTGGGATTGGAGTGCACTTCAGAAGGTGGCAGCTGAAGAAGGGGACTCACTTGCAGGGTATTGCAGTGTTTACCCCATCTTTGTGCAGAGGACAGTTGATTGAGGCCAGGTACATCGCAGCTTGCTTGGGGATGATCCAGCTGTTTGTATTCAGATAAAGCTGCCACCATTGGGAAGGGACTTGAGTAGAGGTTCTGCTCCTTCTTCTCTTTTGTCTCAGGGGATGGAAATAGATTTCTTCCTAGCTTGCAGCGCGTTTTTGGGGAACTGGAAGAAAACCCTCCACATTCTGAAGATCTCTGGTGGTTTCAAATATTAAGAGGAAGAAAGCACATTAGGGTTCTGAGACCTGAGGGTGCTGAGTCTCTCTGCTCCTCAGTGGGTGTGAGCTTGCTTTCTTGGCAGCTCAGGTGCTTTCTAAAGTATGGAAAAGAGGAGAGGTGACCACTTGGTTGGAGCACAGGAAGGGATGAATCCCAAGGCTGTTCCAGAAACTCTGGTACTTTGCCAGTGTTGGCCACTAGCCCCAGTGCAGAGGTGGTCCGTATGGTTTTCCTACCAGCCTTCATTGGTTGTTTCTGTATTTCAAAAGCTCTAGGTTACTAGAGGCAAAATGCCACCAGCTTTTCTTTGCTAGACAGTCTTGACACCAGAGGTACCTTCCTGTTTGAAATGAGTCCCATGTCACACCCCAATGCTGCTGTCTGTGCCAGGGATGTTTTGCTGGGACACAGGGAGCCCCACTGGTGGGGAGGCTGGAGTCAGCTCCACTGCCAGGCTTCTGGCGTGAGTGGCTGTGGGTTGTTTTACTCTGAAACAGGTTTGGTAACTTGTGATGGGCTGGATTTTTACAGGCTTACTTATTTTCCAGATGACTTGCTTATGAGGAGCACGGCACGCAGCTCACTAGAGGCATTGTGAGCGCAAGTGCCCAAGTGCTTGAGCATTAATTTGGCTCTCATGATTGTAGATGGTGTGTGCTGGTGCCTGGCAGGTGTTCCCCGTGGCACTCTTTGAACATACCTGGTCCCCAGACAACTTTTGCTGTAGGTCCTACGAAACTGGAGATGTACACGTTCTCCCTGCACCCGCATCTGCCTCCACCAGCACCCCAGAGCTGAACTGCCAGCCCGACCCAGGGGTTAGGTCAGCCTAAGCCCAGGCTCTTCCCTCCCCTGGCTTTGCCCATACCCTGGTTCCTGCCCAGGGGCCTTGGGAGTCTAGCGCTAGGCTCCTAAATGTGACTGATCATTGTGCCCTGGGATGCTGTCAGTTGGTAGAGCTGCCGTGATGAGTAATGACTTGGTGGGCCTTGGGCAGTTGCAGAAATCCCAGCACCCACCTAGCCTCGCTCTCCAGCGCCATGCCGCTCCCCACCATCCATCTCCAGGCGTTGCTGCGCGGTGTTGTCAGGGGCAGCAGGGGATTTCAGTTCAACCCGCAGCAGTCGCTGCTGCCCTGGAGAGGTCTCGGCGGGGCTGAGCCACCCTGCTGCAAACCCATCTGGGTTTGCTGACTGAGTGGCAGTGGGTGTCTTGGTGGTCCCAGATCTTTGGCTCAACTCAGCCTCCTGCTTCCCCGGGGTTTGGATTAAGGGCTTTTCCCCGCTGCTTTCCTGCTAAGCTGGAGCGTTTTCCTCACCCTTAGCCCATCAGGTTGCCAGCGGTTGCTTGCTCTAGACCTGCAGCCATAAGGCTTCTGTGTGGAGTCAGTCTGAGAAGTGGCAGCAGAGACAGAGGACGTGAGGA